ATTTATATATTAGAAAGTTGGATTTTATTTTGAAGAGAGTATTTTTGTTATATCGTGATGATTTGTTAAACTTTTGAGAGAAAAGTTGAATTATGTTCATTTATAAATAGATAGAGATTCGAGTTGAATCGTTGATTTATTAAAATAATAAATGTTAGAAAATATAAATAGTATATATAAATAAGTGAATGTTAGAAAAAATATGTTTGCTATTCATTTGATTGGAATTTTGTTTATTTAACTCAATTATATCTTTTTTTTCTTAAAAGCTGTATATTTATTTTTATATTTGTCTTTATAATCGTAAAAATGTATTATTTCATGTGGTCAAGATTTATTTTTTTTTTTTTTTTTAAGAGTATTAGTTATATTAGGCTGATTCATAAATTTATAGATTCGAGTTAGATTAAGTCGATCCATAAATAAATAGATTAAAGTTAGTATTCGAGTTAGATTCATTGAATTACACATTCGCGTTAGGATATAATTAATCCATAGATCTATAGATTATAGTTAGATAGAGATAATCCATAGATCCATAGATTAAGGTTAGATTAAATTGATCCATAGATTAAAATAAGATACTGTTGATTCATATATCCATGCTCTCTCAAGTTAGATCGAGTTGATCCATAGATTCATAAAGCAAAGTTAGATCGAGTTGACCCATAGTTCCATGATTCAATTTAGATCAAGTTGATCCATAAATTCATAGATTCGAGTTAGATCGAATTTAACCAAGTAACAATAAAAGAGGAATCATGTATACGAGTTAGATAAAGTTGATTCATAAATAATTGTTTTCAAAAATAACACATTTTACTACAATAATAGCTTACAATTATTTTTATATCATAGCAATAAATTTTCATAATTTTTTTTATAAGATAGAATATTCCTATTCACTATTGTTTACTTCATAATAAACTATAATTATTATGACACTTATTTATGAATCAACTTATTGTTTGAACACTTCAGAACAGTAATATATTTCATTACAGATTTAACACACATATAACAAAATCTAATTAATCTTATAAATTAAAGAACAATAATATATTTACAAATTATTAATTATTATTTATTTACGAATCAATATTTAATTATATTCAATTATAGTAATACGTTTTATTACAAAATCTTTCTTTATTTATTTACGGAAAATAGAAATTGTGTGTTCGTAAAGGTTTAACACACATATAACAAAATCTAATTAATCTTAAATTAAAGAACAAATATATATTTACAAATTATTAATTATTATTTATTTACGAATCAATATTTCATTATATTCAATTATAGTAATACGTTTTATTACAAAATCTTTCTTTATTTATTTACGGAAAATAGAAATTGTGTGTTGGTAAAGGTTCTTAATCTTGAATGAAGAAGAAAAAAATGGTGAAATAAGAAAATGTTAAAAGAGAGCAGCAATGGGTGTAAAGACAAAGAGAATGTGCACCTTAGCAACGAACCAAGAAGTTCTCGCAATGCGTTCAAACCGAATACGATCGAGTGGGCATAGCGCGTTGCTCTTAGCGTGGGTTTCGGAATACACGAGCAGACATATCCGAGCGGTCATTGTCCACCGATTGGCTGCGAGACTAGTCCTATACGGGCCGTACCATGTACTGCCCACAGACTTCCTCCTTTTTTTACACCTTGCCTCCTCTTTCTTTCTCGTTTTCTATCTCTTTCTCAAGCGTTTCCCCCATATCTTTCCAACGCACGAGTTACAACAATCTTTTTTCAACGATCACAAAATCTCGAACTTTAAAATCAACTAGATTCATCCATAAACGCGAACGAATTTTTCTATTCCTCAGAGGAATGATAATAAATTTATTGATAATAAAAAAGAAAGGAAAAATTAGGATCCGAGTTATACAGAAATTTGTTAACTCTGTAAATGACTAATAATTTCGGTAAATTAATTAGTAATATACTAACTATCCAAGACATAGTTACATTTTAGGTTTATAAACTAAAAAATATTTGATATAGTTTTAATTGCAAGAAAAAAATAAAATATAACTAATAATTTTTAACATAATTCTTGTTTGTTTTTTATTCTACTCCTTGTGTAGATTTTCAAACTACTAAATTAGCTAAATTTCAAACCATTGAAGTTTTGCGTAGCTTGGCCTCTCAATTGAATTATTAATTTTTTTTTTTTTAAGATATTTTTTGTTCTCATTTTTCTTCTCTTATGAATTATTTTATGACGTGTACGTATAACACGTATCTACACGCTCGTATATAACCGAAGGGAAACGCATAATTCTGCTCGTTTCCGCCAACCTGATGTTGGCAGGCGTCGCCAGCTGAATAAAAACAAAAACATCTGCGCATTTTTCTCTTTCATTTATATTATTTCAAACGATTTTACAAAAAATCCATATTTTATTTTTATTTGATTTTAATCAGAATATTATTGATCTTGTATTTTTTCAGTTCGTCGAATTAGGTATTGTTTCTAGTATAGAATACAATTACAAATCAGTGGAATCGGCTCGGAAGGGACAGGAAGTGTGTGTCAAGATCGAACCGATACCAGGCGAAGCACCGAAAATGTTCGGTCGTCATTTCGATGAAAAGGATTTCATCATTAGCAAGGTAAGCATATTGAAAAATATTTTTTTCTTTTAAACTTTATCAAGACCTTTGCTCTAAAATATATATACAACATTTATTTTAAATCCTATTAAAAAGATATTTTTATTTTCGTCATTAAAGAAAAGAATATAAAATTTTAATCAGAATTTTCTAATCGCAATACTAATTTCTCAATTTTTAGAAAATAAATATTTTATTATTTGTTCTTCTTAAAATTAAAAATTCGGTCTTGTGAAAAGGGTAGCAAAAACAAACCTCTCATTACCTTCTTATTTAACTCGTATATAACTTTTTGGATAGAATATAAAAATTAACAATAAAATTACGGCTAACATTTAGCGATACAGACAAAGATGTAAAAATGTTAATAATAAAAGATAAACACGATAGGAGGGTGGGGGCGGTGGAGGTAGGGCGAAAAAAAGGTAAAGAAAAAAAAAAGAGGCGAGGCGAGGCGAGGCTTTGGTTCGGTGCAAATTCGACTTACAATTAGTATGCAAGATCTGTATCAAAAAAGGAAGATGCACGTCCGGTGGCGATCAGCCGTCCGCCAGCACTTCCGGTCTTCGCAGAAGCTCGACGAGTCTCTTTCCTCTTTCCCTCCTCCATTCTCCATGCTTCCACTTATATCTCTTTTTCTTCTTCATCATCATCATCATCATCATCATCATCATTACCATCATTTTCTTTTTATTTTCTTCTTGGGGGCCCATCTTTTATCTTGTCAGAGAATAAGATATCTGTTAAAAATCAACGATGGTAGTGATTAGAGTGCAGGGGGTGTGGAGATGAGGTTGAAGTTGAAGTTGAAGTTGAGTTAAAAGGTAATGTGGTGGAGGGTAAAGTAGACTAGATATGGGGCCAACTAATTGGCAAGTAGAGAGACTTAAAAAATCGATACGTAACCAAATATGACATTTTAACACTTTACTGACCAGCCCCTCAGTCGCAGATACTGTTTTTCGGTTTACACCAGGGCTTCTTAAACTATGGGTCGGTCGCGACCCCAAACGGGGTCGCGTAGCAAAATTCTGCGGTCGCGAGAGATTTTAATGTCAAATATTTATATATACCAGTTTATAACATCACTAGAGTTGGCGGAATACAGTGGACTTGCAGCGTCTAGACACGTGCATTTGTTGAAGGTTTTGAGCTATCTCCACCGACAGCAGTAATATTTGTATGGGGTCGTCAAGAAACTCGCAATCATAAATGGGGTCGTGAATGACAAAAGTTTAAGAAGCCCTGGTCTACACTAATACACGGGAGTATCTGTGCGTTTCATATGTGCTCAGAGAAAATTTTCCGCTTTCTGTTATTACAGGATATATTAGGATATACAACACACATTACAGGATAGGATAATTAAATTTAATAAAATGTTGATAACAATAATATTACACAAGAGATTGTTCGGTAAGCGTTGGCAATAAAAAAAGCCGATTAATAGGTGATCGGTCGGTTGGTTAGCATTGTCGATTAAAAAAGCCGATTAATAGGCGATCGGTCAGTAAAGTGTTGAGAATGAAACGGACAATGAGATGTGTATTCTTCTATCGCAACAGCAACCAATGTCGTTTTCGTTGTGTTGTGTTGAATGCATCAGGGAAAAAATGCAGATCGTAATCAGCACCTATCGTAGAATCCACGATGATGGTGTGACTGACGAACGTAGTCTTTCTATCTCTCTCTTCACTTTGTTCGACTATTAGATTTCGTGGAAATCATTTCAAGCCTTCTTCTTAACTCCTTACTTTTGTTTCTATTCATTGTATTATTTATTTTCGGGTATTCTAGAAAGGTTTCATAATATTACAGATATTATATTGCTAATTAATTCCAATTATTTCCAATAAAATAAAATATTTGGAATGTTACGAGAGTGATCGAAGAAAAAAAATGGGAAATTTAAAAGTAAACCACTTTATTGTACTACCATCTTCTTCTTTTTTTTATTCGTGTGTTTTTTTTTTTCTATACTACTTTTTCCCAAGGTCCCAAGGAAGAAAACGGTATCACGTTGGTTCTTGGATACAGCAAAGTAAAATGAAAGAGAGAGGAAGAGAGAAAAGAAGAAGGTACATGTGGCGTGCCTGCCTAACTCTCTATCCTCTAGCCTCTCTCTCTCTCTCTCTTTTTTTTTCCTCTCTTTCCCCACTAAATTCCCCCTTACTCTCGGTGTATCTACGTCTCTTCCTCATCGTGCTTCAGGCACCTTTGTGCCGCTCGCTAGGCGAGCGGAAGTCGTCGTTACCGTTTGGTTCGTAGAATCAATTCCGGAAGTACCTTGTTCTCACGATGATTTGTGGTGCGACGACTTCGCACCCTCCTAGCACGTATACACACACACACACACACTTTCCCATTACATAGTCTCCAAATATTCTCCCTCTTACTCCCTCCTCTTATCTTCTTTACTCCTATGTAAAGGAAAATCCAATTATTTTCATCATTTTCTTTTATTCGATATAGAATTTGATCGATTATTCAAATCCATCAGGTGAAAGGGGGGGCTGAGTTTAGTCATTAACACGTGTTATTTAATTTTTGGTTTCTCTTACTTTGTTTTTTTTTTTTTTTTTTAAATCATAACGAATCATCTTTTTCTACCATAACTGATCGAGATATCTGCCCTGATTATTTAAGTTACAGTGATATTATCATTGTTCTGTACGATTAACCGTAAAATGTAATGGGGATCAATTTTGTTCGAAACACGGGCAACTCTGATTTACAATGTTAGAACTAATTTGATATTCACTGTTTTTTCGTGGAAAAATTTTCTAAATTGTTCTTATCGAGAATACGTGATAGATATATTCTCAAATGTGATGATTGTGATAAACAGAAAGAAAGAAATATATAGCAATATGTGTTTGTAAGGTTTAATTTGATGTATTTTAAGACTTTTTCGTAAAAAAGATTTTCTAATTTGTTCTTATCGGGAATGTGTGACATAATCAAACGACTGTTGAGATAAATAGAAGAGAGAGAAAAAAAAAAATAGAGAGAGAGAAATGTCAATGTTCGTGACTTCTTAACTCTCTCATCTCCTATCATTGTGATGATGTTCTACATTGTGTATTTCTTCTCTTCGTTGGATACATCTGCACGTTCGAAAGCTCGCATGCGTAGCGTAACGTAGTTGTCTGTGTAGTAGTAATAGTAGTAGTAGTAGTGTAATGTAGTTGAACGTAGTGCGAGAGTGCGAGAAGGTAAGACGAACAAACGAACAAATAAGTGAGAGAAATAGAGATGGTGTGGTGGGGAGCGAGTGAACGCGAACTGTGCGGTACGGGGCGGGGTAGGGGGGTTGAGAGAGGTAGAGAAGGGGCGTGGCTGCGTAAAACCACCATTGTGACCGATCCATGAATGAAACGGGACTTCCGGCCGAGAGTGGGGGCGGAAACAGTTGTAAAGCGTCACGTTACTGAATGAACCGTATGCGCTGCGAGAGAGAGAGAGAGAGAGCCATCTCTCTTTGGCGAAAAGTTATTCGAACGATTTTCGAAACTAGGGGAAAACGGATAATAACAAAATAATGTTCCTTGTGGAAAGATAAAAGGAAAGGAAAATCAAAAAAAAAAGAAAAGAATGGAAAAGTAGGAGAGAGAACGCTTAAAAAAAGGGAACGAACATCTTTTTTTTTTTGGAATTCCACAAATTCTTTCCTACTTTTTTTCTTTTCTTTTATTATAATATTTAATATATATACTAATTTTTAATATATATATTATATAATTATTGTTTAATATATATATATATATATTAATATATATATTAATTTTATTATTATATTATATTAACACGTCTTTCGTATATTTGATCGTTAATAAAAATTGTACAAAAATTTGCGAAAGAAATGAATTATTTTTGTAATGCGATAAAAATTTACAACTTGTAAACAAGTTTTTCTCGGCCTTTTTTAGAAAATATCGATAAACTTTTCGACACGCGCAATATGTTAATAATTCATAATTGTTCTTAATTAATTCTTTATGATGTTTGTTTTTGTATTTGTTACAGATAAGCAGACAAAGTATAGATGCCTGTAAGGATTACTTTAGGGACGATTTGTTGAAAACCGATTGGCAATTAATGGTCGAATTAAAGAAATTATTTCAAATACTTTAGGAAGACTCTTTCGAATTTGCGCCGATCCTCGCGCGCTAAACATACAATCAACCGGCTGGCCGATTCTTAAGGGACGACGAGACAATATTCAAAACACATATTTTTGCTCGACACAAAACTAGCACGCGAGAATAATATTATCATTATCATCGTCCTTGAGAATACATTACGAAGAAAAGAAACAAGAATAATATTTAATAACAATATTAATATAATAATTGTGTCATCGACGACGCCCAATGTCAAGACGACAATCATCCTCGAGTTCGTATTTTGAAAATCGTCCGATACAGAAATTTAAAAACTGAACGAGAAAAGAGAATAAAACAAATGAAGAAAAATACAAGAAATTAAAAAACCAACAAAGAGAGAAAGAGAGAGGAGATGATATCTTGTTTAATCTTTTTCTGTTATAATTCGTGTCGTATGTAAAATTGAATACTTCGGTCCCAATGATCGTCATCTTCATCATAATCACAATGATCAACGCGTCTTCGAAAATCAACGAAACTTTTCATTCGTACGTACATATTATACCTATCTTTCTCTCTCTCTTTCTTTCAGCCGACAAAAAATTAATGAATCCGTAAAATATGAAGGTGAAGAATCGAACGTGTATTAAGCATGAAAAGGAAGGTAAAAAAAACCGATCATAGTTGAAGAAATCGCGTATGCGTTTTTTTTTTTTTTTTTTTTCTCTACAAACATTCTCTATAAAACGCAAGCTTTCTTCGTGTCCTCCTCCTCTGACTGAGCAACAAGTTTCGTTCGGTATTGCTGTTGCTGTTTGCTGTTACTGCTGGCTCGATTCCCCGTTACGATTCGAATACACAGTTCTCGAGTCGAGTTTCTTGCGATCGGTGAATATATAGCTGCGTGTAGTTGTCTACTCTATTCGCTGAGAGAGAAAGAAAGAGAGAAAGAGAGAGAGAGAGAGAGAGAGAGAAAAAGAGGAAAGATTTTACTGGAAGAGGAGAAGACTTCTATCGTCTTCTCGTCAACTTGTATTTCTTTTTTCTTTCTCTCTCTCTCTCTCTATCTATCTATCTATCTCTTTATTTATCTTCGTCTACTTTTTCAATATGAAGGTGCCAACATGGTCGACGTTATTCATCCTCCTCCTCCTCCCCCCCGTCTCGCATATTTTCTTCCCCGTCGTATTCTTCGCTATTAAAGTTAGTTATAATCCTTAAAGAGACGGATAGACGCGATTTAGATAGAACGAATAATAAAAACTTCATCAAGAGTGAGTGAGAGAGAGAGAGAGAGAGAAAGAGAGAGAGAGTGAATACGCAAGTAAGTAAGAATGTAAATATATATGTGTGTGTATGTGTCGTACGGTCGTCGACCATAGTCTCCAACGAAACATATGGTACACACGACATACATCTCTCTCACTCTTTGAGAAACCGTATGTGAAGGAAATAAAAAAAAAAAAAATAAAATAATTAGAAAAAAATAAGAAAAAAGGAAAAGAATATGTAAGGAAAGGAATATGTAGGAGAATAAAAAAACGTAACGTTGGTTAAAACTCATTACATCGACAGTCAAATGAAAAGGATATAACAAATATAACGAACGACGATGTGGCGATGAAGAAAACCCGTGAAGAAGACCCGCGCGTTCGTGCCTTTTCTTCGTAGAGAAAAATAAAGATTAAGAGAGAAATACAAGGAAAGAAAGAAAGAAAGAGAGAGAAAGAAGTAAAGCTTGAGGAGTCGTCGTTGCGCGTCGGACTCGCCTATAAAACTTGCCTTGATACTCACGATCATTCTTGGAAGAGAGGAGCGTGTCTGGTATAAATTCTCTTCGACGTATTTCCGGTTTTGTCGCCTAAGAACGCACGTATGAGTCCAAAGGATAAAGCGAGAAAGCGAGGAACCAAGCAAGTAAAAAAGAAAGAGAGAGAGAGAGAACAAATCGGATAGAAAAAGTAAGAAGAAGGGGGATAGAAAAATAGATAGCTCGAAAGACAGGGTGTGCTTGTGCATGCATGTACGTTTGTATGTGTTGTTTTGCGTGTGTTATTTGCGCGCGAGAGAAAGAGAGACATAAGAAATCAAAGAATCGATATGACTGTAGAAAAAAAAAAAAAGAAGAAAGAAATGCAAACTTTATGTCGAATAATAAATGCAAGAGAAATGATACAAAATAATATGAATCTTATAAAATGAAATCACTGTTTAAATATGCATAATAATAATAATTTAAAAGAAATCATATAAAAGGAAGATCTTGGAAGCGGATGATTAAGACATGGAGAGAAGGAACGGGGTTGGGTGGGTAAGAAGAAGAAGTAAATTGATGAAACAAAAAAAAAAGGAATTAACGTGTTTTATATATGTACTCCCTTTGTATAAATCAACCAAGTAAATTAATGCGAGGATAATAATAAAGAGTACGTGTTTCGCAATAAAATGATGCATCTATATATTTGTATATACTTTATATTTATTCACTCTACCAGTACTATAGATTAAGATTTTACATAAAAAATAATTGCAAAATATGCGGGAATGAATGAAATAAATACGAAGGTGAGTTGAAAAGTTTTCAATAAGGTAATAATCATTTGAGTCAACTTTTTATTATTATTTTCTAAAATTGTCAAATAATTGAAATGCTATAATATTATAATGTATTAGTTGGCAGTAGGAAAATGTTTGTTTTGGAGTAAAACGTAACGTTTGCTCGATTGGCACAAACATCCACCACCCTTTTCAACATTCGAATCTTTTTCACCTTCTTGTAGTTGTCAACACTTGCATCGAACGAGAACTTCTTCAGGAAATCGATTGGCTAGATAAACACGTATGGTTTCTCGATTGCTAGCTAGCTAGCTAGCTAGCTATACTATTGCTACTTCGAGATTGTTATTCGAGAATGAACGAACGGATGTCCGTTGTCGTTGTCGTCATCGTTGACGTTGAGATCACGTCGTTCATTCTTGGCCAAGCTTACAACGAATTAGATTATGTAAGTCATTTGTGCTGCTAATTATGATAGTGGACTAATTGTATGTCGAGATATTGATAACATTGATCTTTTACGATTTATATTTTAGATTCATTTTATTAATATCATAATAAAAATATATCTTACGATATATATTTTGTATTACAAAAATATATTTACGTGACATTAAATTAATTTTATTTTTATTTTTTTGTTAACTCAACCAAGTGTCTCACGTAATTAAATTAATTCATTAGTTGATTAATGTAACTGAACTATTTTTCTATTTTTTCTTTTTATTTTCATCTTTCTGTATATTTTTTCTTTTTTCTTTTTTCTGTTTCTTTATGAAAACTCCGTCAGTTTCCTGTATTTTTCTCTGTTTTATTTTACATTTTATTAGAAAATAAAAAGAAAGAGAGAGAGAATTGATAGCTAACCGTGACTATTAAAGTATACAAGTAAACGTCGAACGCGAACAAGTTATGCACGCGCTAGACCGTTGCAACTGACCGAGTAAAATGTGATTACCGGCGGAAATGGTACACGCCGTTCGTGTTGTTCCATTTAACTACGATGCGAGAAAAACATTGAGATCTGAATTTAGTTCTCTTCTCGAATTATTCTCTCTAAATGAAAGATATTTTCTCGATACTATTATCTTCATTCGAGTGAGTTCAATGAGATCTAATCGTTAAAAAAAAATATAGTCAAATAACAAGTAGTAGACAAAAACAATCTTATCTCCACTACAATAATCCAACAATCATCATCCACACATCTCAATTTGATTTATTTTCATTTTATTTCAATTCCTCTTTTTTTTATTCACAAGAAAATTACCGTGAAATAATGAACTCGATTAAAATTGACTTATATTATTTTTTGACACATTGATTTTCACATTTGACAGTCACTTCCGAGATACAAAATTATCATTATTATAATTGATATCAATGAAAAATATTATCCCAACGATAAAAAAAAAAAAATAAAGAAGAAGAAGAGTAAAGTGTAGTAAATAGTAAAAGAGAGAAAAAAAAAAATAATCGTGCGGTTTGTGCCCATTGCTGGAACGCTCGGAATATATGCCGTGTCCTTGCTGCGAGAGAAGAACCAAGAGAGAGAGAAAAAGAGAGAGAGAGAGAGCAGCAAGTCGGCATGGCACGGCTCGCTCAATGAACACACGTCATTTCGAGTCATTCATGCGACTGCAAGTTATCCCTCTCTCCTTGTCTATATGTGACATACGCGCGTACACGTATCCGGCATATCGTATATCCGTTTGTTTGTACGATTCCAAGTGTATGTTGTGTTGTTCATTGTGACTTAGGTCACGGGAGATCGCGTAGATAGAAGAGTAGTTACGTTCGTCCTTCTACGTATCCTCTCTTCACTCCACTACCCAGCCCCTACCCCTCCCCCCCACCTCCCATCACCTCCCTCTCTTTTACTATCTTTAATCCTACATATATATATATATATATATATGGTTCTCTCTCTCTTTCTTTCTCTTTCTCTCTCTTTCGATTCTTCTCTACAATTATATGTATATATATATATATGTATTTCTAAATAACTCTTCGATTTAGTATTTACTTTTCTCATTCACGCCAAGAAGAGATATTATGCTAGTTTTTTTTTATTTTCTAGGAACGTATGGATTTTCTCTCTCCTTCTTTACTTCTCTTTTTATATATATATATATATATATATATATTTCTCTCTCTTACTAAAGGAGACGTCATAAAGAATCGACTCGAGTCGAGTTCTAAAAGCAGAAATCTCGAAGCCACGAACCGGAAACGATAAGAGACCCAACACGACCATGATTTTTCTCTTTTTCTTTTTATTTTTCTATTATACTTTTACATATTTTTTATTTATCATATTACCGTGTGCAACACTTTTCATTTCAATTGCATTCAAATATTTAATTCATCGCAGATTTGGTTTTTTATTTATTATTACGTGATAAGTATATCGTTCGGTCTTCTTTTTTTTTGTTTTAAATTGTTTTCGTAACTAATTTAGATGCATGAAAATAGAAAAATAATGCGCGAACTTTAATTTGTGCGTGTATGTGTGTGATATGAAGTAAAAAAAGTAGAAAGAAGAGAAATGTTTAGCGCGTACACGTAATTTTCTCTCTCATTTTCTCTTAAATAACGGCTTCTTTACGATCCGCCTGCGCGTTGCGGTTAATTAGGCAATTAAACCGCACAATTCCTGAAAGCGATGCCACGAAGATACACCCGATGAAATCCACGATTGTTCTTTTTCCCTCGATGTACCGCCACTTCCCTCTATATCTTTCTTTCTTTTTCTCTCTCTCTTTCTCTCTCTTTCTATGTCTCTCCATATATCTTTCCTTCTTAGAATAGTCGAGTAATTGGATGACCTTTCGTCATGTACCAAGTATAAATATTCAAAAAGTATGTCATTTTAAAACGCTTCCAACTATACAATTGATAAGAATGTCACACAGATCCGTACTGTTTCTTTACATGATTCTACATGATTTTTATAGATAATTTAATTAATTAATTTAAGAGCTCTTCAAATCGAAAACAACTCAAACTAACTTACACATACACAGATATATATATACACATAAATGCATACATAAATTTATATATAGATTCATACGACATACATTCATTCATACATATATACAAATATATACATGTCCATTAATACAAACATATAAATACATATTAGATGCATGCATATATACACATATGCATTCGTATGTATGAATGCATATGTGTATATACTCATATTTATATATAAATATAATATATAAACGATAAGTAGTAACACACGAAGCACCAAGAAAGGAGAACGAGGAAAGGTGACGGCGGGGGACGAAGGGGAGGATAATCGTACATCGTGAAAGGGTGAACGAGGGGAGAGGGGAATAGAACGTTTCCACACCGGATATCCTCCCGAGGGAAACGGTGCACGCGATTCGCATTGCCACGCCCGTAGTAGTATATATGTTGTGTTTCTTTTACACATCCTAGGTTAGACGAATAACAGTAAAGGATCCAGTTTACCGTCATTTATAAACTATAGCGTGTTTTAAAGTTACAAATTTGTATTCACGATCAACAAAAAACTTAGGAGGAAAAGATTGATCCATTTATATTCTCGACGGATGAAAGAATATCGTAAGTTATGTTTTTAAGGTGAAATCAATATCGATCATAAAGGAGATAAGTTTCGAAACGTCATCATCATCTTCTTTGTTTGTTAGTCTCGATCATTCGAGTGGTCACAATATAAGGCAGGTTCATACATTGGTATCGAATTCACTAAGAACTGAGAGAGATAAAGAGAGAAAGTAATTCAATACTCTCTATAAGGACCTTGAGTACCTTCCCATGAATGCGCATACACGTATATACATAGCGTAAGTATATGCATATGCATTATGTGTATGAATATTATACGTGTTTCAGGCGTATATGGTAGCTAGACTCTTTGATTGTGTCTTCTTTTTATTAGATATAGCGAGATGATTTGTGAACCATCTCGTATCTCATTCTATTACAAAGAACAACATTTTTCATCGTTCTTTTTTTATTTTTTATTTTATTTTAAAATAATTATTTTAATGTAATTTAAACTAGGAGATAATAATAAATATATACAGATTATTAATGATATTTTGTTTACTCTAGATGCTAATGATTAAGTAGAATGTTGAATTCCGTGAGTATTCTTTTTTTTTCTCTCAGTCTCTCACCCCTACTGTTCGTTTTCATCTTTCAAACAAAATTGCAATGAAGATAGAAAGAAAATAAGATATAGAAGACGATAATTCAAAGGTGGAATAAAGAAAGAACGAACGGTTTACGTTCGCAGTCTGGCTTAGAACGGACGGCACGAAAGATACGTGCGTGCACGGAACGAAAGACGGAGCCAAATGGAACAGAGCGAAAGAGAGAAAGAAAGAGAGGAAAGGAAAGAACCTAAGAGTTGTAAAATGAGAACGACGAGGACGTAAGAGGATGTAGTCGACGGACGTTTACGAAGAGAACCGAGTATCCCCGACATGTGGGGAAAGCTTAGTCGGTGTAGAGAGAAGAAGAAGACACAAGGGATTATTTCTCTTCGCCAATTATTTTTCGACTTTTAACGTATTGTGCAACACACAACGAAATTAACAATGTTATTATTATATTTCGATTTTATATTAATACAAAGCCAAATATTTGTATTATCTATTTTTCTTGTATTAAAAAAAAAAAAATGTATTTAACAATAAGTATATATATGAATAAAAAAAGAAGCGAGAAAAATCGTGAAGATTAGCGAAAAAAAAAACAAGATAGATCGGATATTAAAGGGTACCGATGAGCTTTTGGGCCGGCCCTGGCAAGCACAATACCGAGTATGAATGAAGTATCGTGTCTGGCTGGGTAGAGGGGAAAGAGAGAGAAAAAATTGTGCGGTGTTTCGCGGCGTTGTGAGGTTGTATTGCGGGCGGTAAACTGGTGACGCTCGTTGATGTTTGGTGCGCATGCGCGCAAAAGTATACGAACGTACTCCCCTCTCTCTCTCTTCCATCCCCTCGCGTATCGGCCGCAGAGGAGGCACCACCGCACGTTCGAGTTTCGCGGCATACAGGGCACAGCAGGAATGAACAACAGGAGAATCCGCAATGCATTGCAATGTTGAGCAGCAGTGTTGAGTGTAGCCGGCTGCATCCAGAAAGAGAGAAAGAGATAGGGAAGGAGAATAGAGGGAAAGGAAAAGGAACGGATATAGTCATTTTTACGCGCTGAAAGTCGCATCGTTTGTGGATATATCGAGTCCTCGAGTATTAGTAGACCGCCATGTTATTTGGTAACAGGTCGATCATCGAATCGAGAAAAGATAAACTTTTTAGATAAGGAATTCATTTTGATCAACGTAACGCGAACGGAATAGGAGATGAAAATATAATATAGAGAAACGATCAATCAGGTAAATGAAAAATTGTTAGTAGGGTTCCGTTTGCTGCTTGAAGAGAGAATATATACATAACTACGTGCCTGGACCGCACGAGCTATGGCAACATGGCTGCCAACGAGAGAACTAGCTGAATCTTTCTCGCTCGTTTCGTTGTCTCTTTCGCGCGTGGGAGACTATGTTATTTCTTTTTCTATCACCGTAACTTGACGCAAGCCAGATTGGCCTCTCTCTCTCTCTCTCTTATTTCTTATCTTTTATTTTTCTTCGATTCTTTCTCTCCCTCTTCATCTTTTTTTTTCCTTTTGCCCTTTCGAGAAGCTCATTCTTTCCCGATCTTTCTCCCACTTGGTTGATCTCTTTCTCTCTCTCTCTCTCTCATTCTCTCAGCTACTGGTGTTAACGACGGATAGACGTCTCTCGGCGGTCGTCCCGCGCGTGCCCTCACGTGAGCTCGTTCGGTCGCATACACTTGCGTGTATGCGTGTGTATGCGTGCGTGCGTGCGTGCGTGTGGTCGGTCAATAGAAAAAAGCAAAAACATAGAAGTAGCACGGTGTTACCCTGCAACGAAGGCGCGAAACACAACGCCAATCGGCCACGCACGTACACCCCGTATCGCGTTCTACTCTAAAGGAGAAAAAGAATAAGATAGAAAGAGAGAGAGAGAGAGAGAAAGATCTTTCTTTTCTCGCGGTGGTGTCGTCACGGCGCGAGCGCGAGCGCGCTTGTTACATCTTGTTTGTGTTACTATACTCATGGTCGGCAGAGAGTCTTTCGTCAGAAGCGGAAGATAACACGGCAAAGTAGATTTCGGTGATTCGATAAGAAATTGCGGAAAAGGAGAAAGGAAGAAATAAAGAGAAAGAGAGATATATATATATATATATATATAGAGAGAGAGAGAGAGAGAGATCGGAGGGCGAACAGAGCGCGTGCGACGTACCTGGCTGCGCCGGTGGCAGTCTCGATCTTGCGGTCGGACGAGCTCCGTCGTCCTCCTCGTTTTCGTTGTCGTCGTCGTCGAATTGTTGCTGTTGTTGTTGTTGTTCTTGTTAAAACGCAGCGTCGTTCTTGCTTTGGCTTTTCCTTATCATCATCATCATCATCATTGTTGTCGTCGTCGTCGTCGTCGTTGTATCGTGTCGTCGTTGTTTTCTTCGTCATCATCATCATCATCGCGACGAAATTAAAAATACGCGTGTAGAAAAGGGAAAAAAAAAAGATATAAAAATAGAAAGAGAAGGAAGGAAGGAAGAATGCGTGTCAGAGAGAACAGCGAGCAATACTATCTTCTGCTCGTTGACGATCCACCAGCGAGAAGATCGGCGACGGTGGTGGTAGAACCTCGTCGTTGCCGTACCTCGTTCGTAGAGGTACGAACCGCGTGACACGAATGCGGGAGTGTGAAAGAAAAGAAGAAGAGAAGGGAAAAGGTATATCTAGCCGCATGCGTGCAAAGAGGATAGAACGGGCTGGTTATTTCTGTGGAGAGTATAGGGGAAACCGCCCGTATAAAATAAGCAGTGAATGAAGGAGCCTGTTTACTGGCAGACGACCTACGCGAGATTCGGTCGACTCTCTCTCTCTCTCTCTCTTTCTCTTTCTCTTTTTCTCTATCCCTTCCCCTCTCTATCTCTCTCTCTCTTCTTCTCGATAATAATCCTCGTCTTCTTCATCGTCGTCATTGCGTCGTCGATACAGACACTGCCGCTGCCGCTGCCGCCGCCGCCGTCGTCGTCGTCACGAATACGCTGCTGTTTGGCAGAGCGAGAGAGAGAGTGCGCTGCGAGCGAGAGAGTACTGCTAGGGAGGGGTGAGCGAGGGACCGAGCGAGCGAAAGAGAAAGAGAGAGAGAGAGAGAGAGATAGAGAGAGAAAAAGAAAGAAAGAATCGTTGGCCGGAGTGAGAGCCGCGCGCGTGTCTTGGCTCAGTGCTCGAGGAGAAGCCGCAGAGCGTCGGTCGTTATTGGAACGTAAGGCGCGTGTGTCGCTCGTAAGTTTGTTCGTTCGTTCGTTCGTTCGTTCCTTCTTCAATCTCTACTAACGTTGTTATTTCGTTGTCGTCTCGTGCTTCTACGTATTACTGCTAAAGAATAATAAAAAAGGAAAGAGATAGAGATAAATAGAGAGAAAGAAAAGGAACATTTCTATTCGTCGTTTATATGTTTGACGATCCACGTTCGTTCGGTCTGCTTCTTCTTCTCTCTTTCTTTTTAACGTGTGCGCTGCGCGATCTACACGACACGATACGACCGTATATACATTTTTCGAGAAACTTACATAGTACCAACCAACCAACTAACGACGTGTGTGCGCGGCCGACAGGATACCGAGAGTGAGAGAAAGAAAGAGAGCATAAGGAATATGAGATAGAGTGAGAAAGAAAGAGTGTTGGCAGGCAGAAGGAAAGGGAAAAAACGTGCCGCGAGGACGATCGGCGGTCGTCGTGTATACACTCTCGGGGACTCGTCTCGTCGTCTCGATTTGTTTCAACGTTGATCATCATCATCATCATCATCATCATCATCGTCGTCGTCGACGTCGGCGGCGGCGGCGGCTTTTCTTCTTCTTCTTCTTCTTCTTCTTCTTCATCGAGTGAAGAAGAGACGAAGGAAGTACGTATGTGTCAGCAGCGTGCAGTGACGTTGTGACGACTGCGGAAGGAGGAGAAAGGTGGAAGAAGGAGGAAAGATAAATCGCGCGAGTTTCTTCGAACTGCGTGCGAGAAGAGCTCGTGGTATAAGAGAGAAGAGGGGTAAGAAGAAGAGGAGGAGGAGTACGACGAGGAGGAGGAGGAGAAGGAAGAAAAAGAAGAAGAAAAAGGTGGAGGAGGAAGAAGCGGCGGCGGTGGAAGAGGGCGAGAAGGACGACGAAAACGAGGGAGAGGAGAAAAGAGAGAAACAGTAGTAGTAGTGTAGTAAAAGAAGAAGAAGAAGAGGAGGAGGAGGAGGAGGAGGAGGAAGAGGAGAGGAAGAAGAAGAAGAAGAAGACGAAGAAGACGAGCGCGGGAGTCGCGAAGCAGCGTCGAGACAACGACGGCAAGGAACTCCCTTGGTGGTGGTGTGGTGTGTTGTTACTGCTGCAATTTTATATTTTCTTTTACTTCCATTCGTTTGCTCTCTTTCTTTCTCTCTCTTTCTCTCTCTTTCTCTCTCTCTCTCTTTCTCTCTCTTTCATTTTTTTTTTGAATCTTATTATTTTCTCCTTCCTTTATTTTTCTTCATTTTCTTTCCAACGAAAAATTCATAATACTTTCTACTGGCGAAGTGAATTAATTAGACGATACTGTTAATAATCGTGGAAAAAAGGAAGAGAAGTGTTTTCATAAGAGAAGGAAGAAAGAAAGAAAGAAGTGTTTTAGTTGGTGCGCGAAAAAAAGTGTCGAAAGTGTGGATACCTTAAATTCAGAGTCGCGTTCGGCGCTGCCTCTGGCGGGTCTGGTGCTATCATCGTCGGCCCCACTGCCACCGGCGTTGCCCCCAAGACGACAACCTCCGACGACCCCCTGTCCCAATACCGGTGTGCTGTGCGGGCCGAGGACACAGCTGAAGACACCGCCGAGGACGACGAGGGCTACAACGGCGGCCCTAAAGACCTCGACGATTACAACAATAACAACAACGACAACAACAACAACAACAACGACGACGATAAACACAAACAAAACGACGTTGCCCGCAGCCCAACAAGGCGAGCCGTCCCTCGTACCGCCTCACTATCCTGCGCCTCCACGACCCCCGACTAGAAACGGTAAGTAACCAATGTTTTTTTTTTTCTTTAATTTTTTTTATTGCTATTTCCATTTCGTAGGATATAAACGCCCCGTTGCTTGCGTTCCACGAAGGGAGACACCAATGCTCGTTTTTCTTGTCTTTCTTTCTTTGCCATTTCATCTGTTCTCCCCTGTTTTTTTACTCCGAAATATTTAATTGAACCGGATAATACACAAAATGTATATACATATATATATATATATAT